CCCCCCCATCCCCGCGGGGGGGGGGGCCCTGGCCCCCGGTGGGGGCGGGGCGGCCGGGGGACAGCGACGCGGGGAGCCCAAACCGGCCGCGTGCAGCCGCTTGGCTCCTTTTTTTCCATTTTCCACTGAAAGACCCCAGTTTCCACAGCAAGATCTGCCAGTTTGAAGTCCAGCCTGCAGCGCTCTCGGTAAAGTGAGAACACGCTTTGCCTGCTCTGCGCAGCTGAATCGCTCACGGTGCGGGGTGATGCCTGCCACCAGCAGCCTGGTCCCAACAGGGGGGAGCGTGGGCTGCTCACTGGAGCCCCGCTGCTGGGACCGGGCAGGAGGAAGGTGCAGCTGGCTGGTCTGCTCCACTGCTCCGGTCCTGGCAGGGTGTTCAAGAGCAGGGCAGGGACAGAAGCAGAAGTAGAGGCAGATGGGATATGATCAGCTGCTCTAACCACTGAATCAGTAAAATCTTCTATCTACCAGTAAGGGCAGGATGGAGAACTAATATTGCACTTGCACTTGGGTTACCTTTTCCTTCCTCCCCTGAAACCGCTTCGGTTATATGAATTTTGCCTGTTTCTGACAATTGGTACAGCAAAACTTAGTTGATTCACAAATGTATTGAAAAGTTAGCTGTGCTGAGCTGCTCCTGCTGTCAGTTACAGGTGAGTGGTGGAGTGCAGAGAAGATGAGCTATCTGCTGACTTTTAAGTCTAACCTTCGCTGTTTCCATGTAAGATGGTGAGGATTGTCCTGTGCCATACAGCTAGGACTGCCACTGTTCACCCTGCGTGAGTGCCATCCGGAATGGAGAGCCCTTTGGGCACAATGGATACAGGGGAGGTCACATTTAAATACTAATACGGTTTGTTAGGAGTTTTTCACCCCTGTGGAAGCTGGCGCCCCAGTCACATAAGGTGCCCTGATCACTGTAGGTCAGCTTCCCTTCATAGACCTCTCATGTGTGACTTGAAGGAGAATGTCCTTGTGGACTTGAACAATGTATTTTTGAGCTGAGGAGAAAAAAGGGTCTTTTTCAAGCACACTGTGACGTGCTTTTCCTTTGGGGAAAGCCTGGGGTGTCTCCTCTGAACAGCAGGCTGTTACAGCAATCCTGCTTCAGCCAGCAGTGCCAGGCACAGAGGAGGAGACTTTACCCCTTTGAGCCCTCAGCTGCTTTTCCCTCAATGGCTTTTTATTGCACCATTGTTCGGTTTACTCTGGGTTCCTCTCTGTGTTGATAGGCATGTAATGGCTACAGCAGAAATATGTGGCTGACTGGGAGGAAACGACCTAGGGATAGCGTGTTTCTAGGCTGTACTGCCTCTGGGCAAATTAAAACCTTTTTTTTTTTCCCAAGCCTCAGTTCAGATGCTGTGCCCTAAAGGACAAAATGTGCTGATGGCAATTACAGAAGCCAGATGCCAAACACAGTTGAGTCGCAGCTTAACGCGTACTGCTCATCTCTCGGTGAGCACCCAGTGCACCCAGCGTGCTGTAAAATCAAGCTCGCTTCCACAGCTACGTCAACAGACCTCTGATACGCAGGTGACAGATCTTCCTCTCCAGTTACCTTCTTGGATATTAAAGGGCTTTCTTCCTATGCAGGCTTTCCTCTAATAGGAGCTGACTTCTGTGGAGTTCTTGGTTTGCTATCACCGTAATCTGTAGCTGGCCAGAAATATCTGTGTGGGAGGACAGGTTAAACTTTTCACCCTCAGTATTTCTGGTGATGGGAGTCTTCAGCCTTTGCGCCTGGGTTTGAGTGGTAAAGAGCGGAAGATTGCCTGAGTAGCTCTGTGTGAAATAGGAGACTAAGAACTGGCATTAATTTCCTCTCGCTCGTTTGCATTGGCTCCATCTTTGGCAACGTGTGCCGGGTTAGTAGTTCTTGCTTTGTCTTGGCCAATGCAGTGTCTGTTCCCATGGAAATGGGGGTGGAAGTGGCAAGTGTCAGCAGAGAACTTCGTCTGGGATCAACTTCTCCTGCCTGAAGTGCCAGTGGGCAGATAGTGTCCACAGTCTTCCCTCCTGCCCCTGCTTCGCTGGGGAATTATTTGATTCAGAGCTCTTGAGGCATGCATCAGTTTGCATTTGTACAGTAACCCTGACACAATAAAATGTCAAGTTGGGTTAAGGTCTTTTGAGGGCTGCTCTAGAGGTGGTGAAATAATGACTGAGAAGAGGCAAATTTTACGATTTCTGTTACTTTCTTAGTTATTGCCCCATTTGGGAATGTTGTTTGGGCCCTTCTCAGGGGGGCTGTTCAGCTGCCTGCAGACAGTGCCCATTTCAGCTGGGTGCCTGTGAGAACAGCAGCTGATGGAGCTGCTGGTGCTCTTGAAACCCTTGTGTATGTATCTTGCTTCCGTCTTCCTGTCTTCAAGCTGGCGGGTATTGCGTGGCTGTGGTGGGAAGAAAGGGTTTTGTAAGATATCTAATGCTTTTCAGCCTTCTGCCATTCCCCAGGTTTTCACTTGAGGAGGATGAGTCTCTAAAACCTGGTGCCATCAACTGCTAACTTCAAATCTGTTGAATGAATGAGTCGAGTCAGTCCTATGCTGACTGTTTTGGTTTTGTACTCAGAGTTTGTAATTTGAAAATGTTGTAAAAATATTCTAGGTGTTTTTCCTCTTTGAAGCAGGAGTCAATGGCCAAGTCCGTTGGCTCTGTGCCCTGTTTGTGAAACAGACTCTTCTTTCTGAAACAGTGCGAGTGAGTTTGCTGTGTCTTAGACTGCAGCAGGTCCAGACCTGTTTTTCCATAGGACCCAGGTTCTGGGGCTTTGGCTACCTTTGCTTCTGCTCCAGTACTGCCTCCTCCTGGTCAGAGCAAGGAGGGGAGACAGGTCTGATGCCACTTAAGGGGTTAAGCACTTCAAGAGTATATAAAGTGTCTCTTACATATGCTTCAGAAATTAACCCTTCCTCTCACTGTTTTGTGCTTGAAACCCAGCATCTGACTACGGTATGAAGCTGCCAATCTTGCGGTCCAACGCGGAAGATCAGATTCTGTACCAGACCGAGCGTTACAATGAGGAAACCTTTGGCTATGAAGTTCCCATCAAAGAGGAGGGTGACTATGTGCTGGTGTTGAAGTTTGCAGAGGTCTATTTTGCACAGTCTCAACAGAAGGTAAGCAACAGCTCCTTGCTTGTCTCTTTGATGCGAGTTCCTGGCTAAGACTGTGCATGTCCAGGTTGTCTCTGCTGCTTTGCATGCTGGAGAAGGGAGAGAAGTAAGGCGCTAATGGTTAATTTATTTCCTAGAGCTCTCATGGGCTCTGAAACTTCGAGCTCTCTTCCACATTCCAGATATACAGTTGGTCTGGAAAATTGCATTACAAAATATTCAAACAAACATGTGCAACTAAACATAACTAGCAGTAGAGTTTTATGATCTGTTTAGGCTGTGCTGGCTTTGAGAAGAAGTGTTTTTGCCTTTTTCCTGAACACTTGTTCTTGACCTGACAGCATGCTTGTGCATGATTGAATCAGGGAAGCGATCTGAGTTAAATTACCTACTCAAAACAATTTTTATGAATGTAATAAGGCTTGATACTGGTTCAAACTGATTCTGAAAGCACAGAGTTAAATGCAACCCTCTTTATTGCTCTTTAGAGAAGAATAATCCTTGTTCACTTTTGAAATCACTCATGTACCAATGTGGAAGTGGAAGCACAAAGAACTCAAAGCCCTGTGATAAATTGGGAGAGAAGTGGTGTGTGTTTTAGTCTGGCTTTCCCCTGACTCCATCAGCTGCTTTAGAGCCCTGCTCCTTAAGCACCATGCTGTCTTTCTGCCAGAGAAGTATTTCAGGGAACATAACTGGTGGGGCTGGCTTACAGAATGGATGCAAAAAGCAGCCTCAGATTAAACCGAAGGGCTGAGGCATCTTTGGTTCCTCTTCCTTCATGTGGTTCTGCTGGCATTTCCCAGGTGCTGAGTGAAGTTTGAGTCATTCTGGCCCTGAGGAGGACTTTCACTCTGAATTCACAGATGTGGTTAGCAGTTCAATATTTTACCTCCTTCAAACCCTGTGTACTTCACCAGCTTGTTTCCTCTTCTCTGTTCTGCTGCAGGCTGTTACTTAGAAATGGCTTTACTCCCTAGGGTGTGGTGTGCCGCAGCCACCCTGGGGTGGTAGGAGCAGGTCCTCAGCCAGTAGGTGGAAGAAAGTTGTGAAAGAAAAGTATGAATAAACCAGAATAAAATTATGCTGTCCTCAGTTCTGAACAGCAGACATAGGGGTTATTTTAAAAGTTGAGGGCAGATTTCAGAGTATTTGAAAGCAATGTTAATGCTTCAGTGTCTTTACCTGGCTGCTTTTGGGCTCTGAATACTTCCCAAGGGAGTGGAGCATGTGTGGTGGGACAGTGCATGCTGCAATGCTTTCTGGTCCTGGGTGCATAACAAGCAGAGACCTTTCCTGTTCTGTTCCCCTTTCAACTGTCACGTGTCTGAATCTGTTCTGACACTCTGTCATTTCTTCTGTCCTGAAGGTATTTGATGTTCGCTTGAATGGCCACGTGGTGGTGAAGGACTTGGACATTTTTGACAGAGTTGGACACAGCACAGCTCATGATGAGATCATTCCCATGAGTATCAAAAAGGGGAAACTGAGTGTCCAGGGAGAGGTTTCCACGTTCACAGGGAAGCTCCACATTGAGTTTGTAAAGGTAATAAACTTTGCTGAGCAGAGCCCTGATCTTCCTTTTCCCCTTCTTCCCCAGCCACGTGACGCAGCTGTGTGCTGGGGGAGGAGAGGTGAGGGTAGGTGGGGGGAATACTTCTTGCCTCAAAGCTGCAGCACTGACTTCCTTCTTTGTTTTCTCTAGGGCTACTATGACAATCCAAAAATCTGTGCCCTATACATCCTGCAAGGAACAGTGGAAGGTAAGCACAGTTTTTGAGCCAGAAAACTCTTCCCCCTTGGAAAGCAGCCTGTTGCTTCTCAGACCATGAGATCATAGCTCTTGCTGACCCACCTCTGCCAAAACTGTTTCTCTCTCAGCAAGTTCCCACAGAGTGCAGTTGCAGAATGAAATAGGTGTGGAGTGTCCTCCTACTCTTCCAAGTGCACAAAGCTGCATCATTTTTGGAATAAGAAAAATCAGTTTGGTTCAGGACTTCCTGCATGTGGGGTAGAGGAGAAGGGAACACGTCTGGTCAGCCTTAGCTTATAGCTACAGCTATAAACTGTAGATAAATTCCCTCTGGCCTTGGAAGTCAGCAGCAGCCCTGCAGACAAGTAATTTATGGAGATCTTTTAGCTAGTAGTTAAGTGTTTCTTAAGTGCTGGTAAAGTCCTTGCCCTTTCATCACCCTCTTTGTAAGTCTGTGCTGGAGTTGGAGCCCCTCTAGCTCCTGAACAGGGGAGGTTTAGGACCCCTCTCTGACCGAAGCATCAGTTTGCTTTACTGTTGGTCAGGGATTGCCAAGTGTTGCCGAAGATTGGTGCATAACCTTGTGGCCGGGGGCACCTTGCTGTGCGGGGACCTGTAATTCATGCTCCAGGCTCAGAGGACTGGATTTGAGTGGGGTTGGACCATGCTGCTCTGATAGGTCTGGGGTTGAGGGGTGCAGTGATGTGAGGTAGGACCATTTGTGGAAAGGGTTGTTCCCCTTCCTGTTTGCACCTGTATCTGCTGGTCCCGCACGCAGCAGGTGCTTGTTCTTGACTAGATCTCACTGAGCAGCTGCGGTATCTGACTGTGTACGCTGTAAGTGTGCTTTTGTGCTGTAACTTATCCTGTGTGACAGGTAGATGGGGTGGATGGGTGTCGTTTTCTTTGCAGGCTGGGCCTTTAGATGCTCTTGCATCATGGAGGAAAGAAATAGCGATGTGAGCCTCTGTGAGGGAGGATGCTCCTGTTTCCTGGGGTGCTCTGGCCGTGGTGTTGACATGGTGTCAGGTGCCCTGTTGCCGGCGTGCATGCTGGATTGGGGAGCGGGGAATGGAGTGACTTGGGTGATTTCCCAGGTTACATCCTGCCTCCTTGCAACTTTTTGTCTTGTCCAACAGATGTTCCAAAGCTGCAGCCGCACCCGGGTCTGGAGAAAAAAGAGGAAGATGATGATGAAGATGAATATGATGATGGCTCCAGTGTTAAAAAACAGGCAAATAAGAACCGGGTTCAGTCAGGCCCACGCACACCAAACCCCTATGCCTCGGACAACAGCAGCCTCATGTTTCCTATATTGGTGGCCTTTGGTGTCTTCATTCCTACCCTCTTCTGCCTCTGCCGATTGTGAGAGCAAGCCCCACAGAGCATCAGCCAAGGGGCTGGGAGGGAAGGAGTTGGACCAAACACGGTTGCTTTCAATTTCTCCATATTGTTCATAATTTAAGGAAAAAAAAAAAAAAGAAAAAAAAAGATGTTTCATTTGGAATGAATAGCAGGTCCAGGTAAGAGGGAGCTTACCTTCCCCCTGCCAGCAAGCAGCGAGGCCCTCGCCTTCCCCTTCGCACCATGTGCAGCCTCCGATCCTCCCTGGGGCACCCAAGAGTAAACTGAGTCCTGGCTGTCTGTGTATTGGGCTGTTGGAAGCTGATGCTAGCAGTCCTGGGCCATGTCCCACACTGAGAGAAAGCCATGTGCTGCAGGATCTCTGCCTTTGCTGGGTGGAATACGGTTCCTTAAGCAGGGAAGCGGCTCCTAAACCCAGGCCTGGGAACACGTTTTGTCTGGGAGCGTGGAAGTGTTGTGGTGCCGTTGGGTGACTAATGACTATGGAGGATGGAGCCTGGCTCAGCATCTCCCTGAATGTGCGCAACACGATGTATGGTACTCGCCTGCATAAAGATACCAAGACTCCAACTAGCCACTCGGCCTCTGTGGAGACGTTCCCCTCCTAAGAGTGCAAGCTGTGCCAGGAGCAGAGGGATTTATCTGGCCTGATTTGCTGCACCAGTTGGGAGAGACTTTCCTAGTTTGACAATTGTAATGTTAGATCCATTGCAGAGGGATTCTGCTGTCAGAATGTCAGCTCTTGCTGCCTGCAAGAGGCTGATGTTGTTAGCGTCTGATCAGATGCACTTGTTTTCTGTATTGATTATGGCTTTTGTTTCCTTTAATATCCTTTTCTTTTCAAAGGTTTAATTTTAAGCCCAGTTCCTTGTTTTGCCCTTTCTAGCAAGTGACCTCTCCTTTGGAAGAAGCTGAGAATCAGATGACCTAGAGAGGAGGTTCTGGACTTGTTCCTTGGCCTTCTTAACAGTTAGCTCCCCTCCCTGCCCCCTGACTGTGACTGTGAACAACCTGTGCTGTAGGACAGAGCGGAGCAACCTTGCAGATGCTCCCTGTGAGCTCTCATTCCCTGTCGTAGGGACCAGGCCTGCCTGCAAAGCGGTGAGAAGTGCAGTGGACTTGGTTAGTGTTTTCAGTTAGCTCGGCCTTTTGCAACTCAAGGCACTGTGGTGAAGGGGCAGATGTCCAACATTTCAGTGCTGTAGAGCAAGGTGGTTTGTTGCCCTCCAGAGATCTGGAAGAGAGCAGAATACTGGAGACAAGGTCATCCGCTTCCCCTGGGGATATTTCTGCAAGAGGCTTCTGTTTCCACATGCAGAGCCTGTGCCTGCCTGACAGAGGCTGAGCAGAGCGAAAGCCCTCGCTGTGCCTGCTGATCCAGAGCTGCGGGCCCTGAGGAGCTGCCTTCCCATGGTCTTGGCCTCCGACACGTTGAGCACTTCTGGCTGGCGGGAAGGGGATGTTCTGTCTGCCAGAGCAGGGTCTGGCCCAGGCATGGCTGGGTCCTTGCGGGTCAGCTTTGATCCTGGTGAGCTCTGGGCTCACAGAACACTTTACCTCATGCTATCTCTGTTCTCAGAAGTGCTCTCTCTTTACCTGGAGCAGCTGCAGTGAGCGGTGTCCTCCTTGCTGCTGCTCCTCCCTGTGCCTGCGTTTTCCTAGCGGTTCTTCTTGGGTTTGATCCCCTGCAGTGGCTCAGCCTTTCTTTGAGCTGAGAAAGGTCAGCAGAATTCCCTAGTTTCTGGAAAGGAAACCAGAGGAGCAGCCTTTCTTCTCTGCTGGGCGCAAGCGGCTGAAGCCCTCTCTTCCTCTTAACCCTCAAGCTGTGATATGAGCTGCCAGCTCATGGGCTCCAGAATGGGGAGCTGGGGGAGGTGTCAAAGCACTGCTCTGCACAGCAGTGGCACTGAACCTAGCCTTTCTGATCACATACATCACTGCTATAGGCCTGGCCCTAATTCTGTGGCTGTGAGCTAAAAAGTAAGCAGTAGGACCTTAATTACCTTCTCTCCCATTGCACAAGTGGTAACAGCCAGTTTGGGAGAAGCAAGAGGGTCCCTGCCACACCGTAAGGAGAAGACAGGCTTTAGAGAGAGCAGATCTTAAGAACAAACCTTAGGATGAAAGGGCGGTAAGCTTGAAGTTGTCTGCTTCGTCTTCTAGCTGCTGTTAAAATCCTAGTACTTATAAAACTCTCATAAAATATGAGCTCTGTTTTGTTTGATGACGGTGCCTGCAGAGATTCTCCAGCATTTTGGGGATTGCTCTAACTGGAGCACAGAGACATTTAGATCTTTATCAGTTTTGAGAAGCATGAACTGCGCTGATTTGTTAAGCAAAGAACCTGGGCTTGAAAGCAAGCTTCTCTGTAAGGAGCTGTTCTCCTCCAGGCCTTTTAGGTTGCATTTTATTTGAGCATCCTTGAAGCAAGGAATCACTCAGCTTCTTGTGGCTCACCCAGTAATCTCAGCACCTTGCCCAGCATGAGAAAAGGGGAGTGCGTTTAGGTGTGCAAAAGTCGGAGACAAGTCTTCTAGAATAGTTTATCTCTGCCTCTCCTGGCAGCCAGGGCACCCATTTGGTGCCATCAGCTGCCCTAAGGCAAGGCTGTGCAGGGTGTGATCTGTTGTGTTCCAGTTGCTCAGTGCAAATGAATTTGTCATATTTGAATAAGAATAGGAAGGAGGAATAGTTCATCCTTCATGGTTTCAATTTAGTTGTTTTGGCTCCTGGTTTTATCAATTTTTGTCACTACAAAGCTACTGTCTGGTTGGTTGGAGGGTTCCTGACCCCGTTATGGTGCTATGAGCAGTTTTCCTTGTTGGTCCATCCCCTCCTGACAGGTTTGCTTTGGAAGAAGCCTTCAAACAAAGCGCGTGGGAACACAGGAGGATGGTAGGGGGTGGGCAGTCAGCACCTTGCTGTGAATGCCATACTCAGGCTGGTTCCCCTTGTCATCTCTGTCTGGCACCTGCGAGCCAGCCAGATGGGTATAATGAGGTACCTGGTCCTGACCAGGGAAAGAAAAAGTTTGGGTTGGCTGTAGCTTTCCAGTATGGGTGTTTGAGGGAATATCCAAGACATTGTTTAATTGAGACTGGTTAGAGACAAGCCTGTTTATGCTTTGTTGCCTCCAGCCAGCAGCAGGCAGATGAAGCGTGTGTCTCTGTGCAGCATTGTGGGGAGCTGGGTCAGAACAGACCCTGGCTTGATTCATGGAGCAGTTGGGTAGAGAGGGGCAGATAAGGCAATTTTAATAAAGCTTCCACTTAATAAAGGGGAGGTGACACCATTGATCATGTTTTGGGCCTGGATCCAGCCTCAGGGTAGTGGTTCCAGAGCCTATTTTAATTACCCCCTCATCAGCCCCTCCTTTCATACCTTTAAGCCAGACCATTTTCCCCTTCTGTGTGTGTGTGTGTGACTAAAACAACAGCTCTGACCCTTTTGAGTATCCCAGGTGGCAGTGAGCAGAAAGCCAAATGAAATCCTGTCTCTTTTTGGTGCCTTTGTCTCAGGCTTTGAATAAAAGTCTATTTGAAGAAGCTTCTTTTTTTTTTTTAAGGAGCTTCTGAGTTGTTTTTCTTTTTCCCCAAGGGACAGGCATTCCCTGCCCTTGTGATCAGCTGGGGACTGTCTCACTGTCCCTGGATGCCAGCTCCGGAGGTCACAGCTGAAGCAGAGAACTGCGAGCGAGTATCTTTGGTTCCAGCCCTTGAGGTCAATGGGAAAAAAGCCTAGCAGGGGATAGAAGAACTGGAAGAGCTCCTTCAGGTCTGGTCTCCCCCAGAAATCTCCCAAAGGCAGGATGGAAAACTTCCAGACAGTCTGGTGCCTGCGTGTCTGTGCAGTTCAGAGCCGAGTGAGTCACAGCTGGGTCTTGGTAGTTGTATGGTGCTTACAGCTTCTGGGTGCAGAATGTGGCTTCGGGGGTCCTGCCCCCCAAACTCACTCGCCAAGGGCTTGCCCTGCACTGTTTGGGTCTGAACAGGGAGCAGAGACCCGTGCTTTGTCCCTTGGCCCTCCTTTAAGTCAAAATGGGATTGCAACAGCCAGGGAAATGTCTTGGTATGGGAAGTCTGGGCTGAACAGGCCTGTCTGATGGAAAACAGCAGCAGGAGGGAAAGGACCAGCAGAGCAGCTTCAGCCCTTGATGTGAGACAGATTCTGAGCAGCTGCGAAGTACCAAGTGTTTCAGGCTCTGTTTGGTGCTCAAATGTGGGAGAGATCCGTCTGCTTCTTGCACTTATGTGGCGGGGAGGGAAATATCCTTGCTGAGAATCCAAGGGAAATGGGAGCTGGGCCAGCACTGAGCTAATTTACCTGCTGGCGCTTCTGCATCTCCACAACAAATGCCAAAGTCTAATACAATTGAAGGATGCTTTTTTTTTAACATCAGCCTGGTTCCACCAGTCTGTCTTCACTGGCTAGTCCCAAATAGGCTCAAGACAGGTATTCCCAACGGCACAAACGCAACACCGGGCTGGAGCTGTGAAGGCTCAGAGATGTGGTTACACGAATAGGCCTCCTGTGCTGCACCCCTGCTTCGCACACTGCCCAGCGGGGCTGGGGCATGTGCGTTTCACCTTGGATCCGAACAGATTTGTCCCAGAAGTACAGTAGCAATGGCATTGAAATGGTGCTGGGCTGGACGGGAGAGGTGAAAGCAGGTCCATGTCTTCCGGGACTCTGGCTTGCTCAGAGTTTATTGCTGTATATTAAATACTATTTTTGGAGATTGGGGGGAAGATGTGGGAGGGGGAGGGATGTGACGGCGCTGTCCCCAGGCTGATCAGTGGGACGCTACTGCAGGTTATTGATAGGTTTTGATTTTTTTTTTTTCCCCAAAAAGTGCTTTATTTAAAAAAAAAAAAAAAAGGAAAAAATAATCAGCAAAACAGAAATGCTTTCCTCCCTCTTAGAAACAGTGCTGGCTGATTAGAAAATGTGAATAATCTTTTGCAAACATCAAAGGTCTCTGCTAAAGAGTTTGTGTGATGGAGATTTCAAGGCAAGGGGCAAAGTACAGCTTGAACCAGTTTAACTGGGGACAGTGTGAATCTAGGAAACGCAGGATCTCTGCCCTGGAGTTGTTCCCAGTCACACGTAGTGGTGATGTGCTTGCCTGTGCTACCATGGCTGTTCTGTCACACTATAACAGTTCCTGAGCTAGGGCGCTGGAGTGAAGCACTGTCTGGAAACTTGCTGGCAAGTAGGGGCTTGAATTTTTCATGGTTTCTACAGGGACTTCGTGTGTTCAGGGCTTTCCCACTCAAGAAGCAGCCAGGTTGGTAAAGCAGCCCCAGAGAACGTGAGGATCCTGCAGAGGCAGGATTTGTGCTTCGTGCCAGGAGGCAGCAGCCAGGACTGCGAGATGCTGGGCAGGTGACAGTGATGTTTGGGTCCCATTGGCGTGGCAGCTTTTAGCATTGGCAAATGGTCCCACTGCTGCACAGTGCCCGGCTGCGTAGGCTGGGACATGTGGAAGTGACCCGTGTTGTTGGCATTAAGGACATGTCACAAACTACTTGAAGCTGCAGGTCTAAGTTGTCTGTAAAGGCTAAACAGTGTGGGGAGGGATCTCCATCTGTATTTGTCACCAGTGCAAAGGGTTTTTAAGGAGGATTTTTGATTTTACTGTCCATTGCTTTGTTATAACAACTTGCAGTGACATTTTTTAGTTTGTTTTGCAGCAAGCTTGGGCCCTGGGTGAAAAGCACAGATGTCTATTTCTGATTGCATTGGCTTTGCAGGGACTAGTTTGGGGGAGAAGACGGGTGTGGGGGTGGGTTATTTTATTTTTGGTACATGGTAGCGGTTTTATTTTTTAATTTCCCCAGGATGTTTGGTTGAGGGAATGTTCTGAAATCTACTGTCTGGCAGTTTTAACCAGCAGTGTGTTAAAGGAAAATAAACAAAATTATATTGTCACTTGGATGAGGTGGTCCCTCTTTTCTAGTGGGGGGGATGGGGGAACCCCCTCTGCTTTACGGCTCGTGGCGTGGGAGGCCGAGACTGACTGCACTGCGGAAGGGAATGCAGGCTGCTGCCGAGATGCAGTTTAACATCCCACCACTGCTGCAGCCCAGAGCCTCTCCCCGCCGCTGCCTGCCTCTGGTACAGCTCCAGTATTCTCTTGCCAGTTGTTTTGGGCGATTAAGTGTAAGGTGAATGGTACAACATCCTCTTAAAAGTGCTGATGTGGACCTTGTTGCTTCCTGCTCAGATCAGGAACACCAGAGATGTAATCTACCTTCTGGGGTTTTGCAAGCTGCCCCAATTTCAGCTTGAAACTGCGTCAGAGGTGGTCAGAAGGGGCTGTAACTGGAGCAGAGAGAAAGCGACACCTTCCTTCTCTAGGTTCCTGCTCTCAGGGGACAAGGCACCTCGGCCCCGTGCAGAGCAGCCGCTCTTCTGGACAGCCTGGGTCTTTGTCCCGTCATTCCTGGGGCACAGGATGGAGGGACCAAACCCGATGCAGCAAGGAGGATTTGGGAGCACTGGCATGGGCAGGCTTGTTTGAAATAGCATTTGGTTGGCAGTAGCAGGCGTGTGCTGCTTACAAGGAGCAGCAAATGTCACTAACCACTGCTCTAAATCTGTTTCCAGTCATCTTGAGCGTGTTGAGTGTTGGCGGGAGTCTGAAAAGAGGATGCAGATGTTTCACGTTCTTGCCCCTGTTTCCTGAAGGGCTGGAGGTGACTCTTAGCAGCTCTTAAGTGCCTGCTGCGGGCTGGTGGGCAGCCCCTCTTTGGGGAAGAAATGCATCCTTTCCTCGGTGTGATGCTCCCGTGGGACCTCCCCAATCCCTCCCGCCAGGCTCAGGAGACTCATCCGACATCTGCCACTGTCCCTCTGATGTGTGCTCATGGGGGGCCAGGGGTGGGGGTGACAGTGGCACAGCTGGGAGGCCGGTTGACCCGGGGAGAGCGTGGCAGGACACAGGCGCTCCCTGGGCGACCCTCCTCAGAGCACACGGTCCTGTCACTGTCCCTGCCCGGATCCGGGTCCCAGCTCCCTGGGGACAGCAGCTGGGGTGTCCCCAGGCCAGGGCAGCAGTGGGGTGTGCGCTCCGTGGCATCCCCGTGCTGACACCGCACCAGCTCGCGGCTGGTTCCCGAAAAGCCCTTGCCACCGTTCCCTAAAACGACCAGGGCTCTCTGGGGGCCGCCCGCTCTCTGTAATTACCCGCTGCGCTCTGGGATTCAGGCCGTGATTTAATTAACGGGAGACCCCAGGTGCCCCCGCGGTGCAGCGAGGGGCTGATCTCCCGGCTTCCCGGGTGTTGCAGCAGGAGCGGGGCGC